GAAAGTGATAAAAGTATCGGGAAGAATGGTAGTGTTACGTTGCACTATCCGATGCTTACAAAGTTAAATTACTCGGTGTGGGCTATAAAAATGCGAGTAAATTTACAAGCACAAGGAGTGTGAGATGCAACTCAAAAGGAAGATGTGGAAGAACGGAAAGATCGGATGGCTCTTGCGTCTATTTATCAAGCGATTCTGAAGGATGTACTACTTATGTTAGTCGAGAAGGACACAACTAAAGAAGCATGGGAAACGTTTAATATGATGCACATGGGTGCCGATCGGGTAAAGGAGGCTAAAGTACAAAGCTTGAGAAGTGACTTCTAGGTTAGCCGAAAGAAATACAGTGAATCGGTGGATGATTTTTTCATGAGATTAAATACCATAGAGACCAGTATTTGATCTCTAGGCGAGAGAATTGAGGAGATTACGGTGGAGAAGAAGTTCCTTCGAGCTGTCCCTTTACGATTTATACAAATCGTAACATCTATGAAACAATTTGGCGATTTAAAAATCATGACTGTGAAAGAGGTTGTGGTTCGTTTAAAAACCCATGAAAAGAGACTTTGAGGTTATCGAGAACAAGGAGACATACCTTATTTCATGCTTACGCATACCGAATGGGCATCACAATTCAAGAAGACTAATGAGGGGATCTCATGAAACACCTCAAAGGAGAGAGGTGGTCATGGTGGCCAAGGCCGAGGAAGAGGATGTGGCCAATGAGGTGGCAGTGAATCCAATGTGAACTGAAATGACAACAAAAAAGATAAAAGCAAAATAAAATGCTTTAGATGTGAAAATTTTGGTCATTATGCATTAGCCTAACCGGAAAAGAACCGCGGTGAGGAGACAAACCTCACACAAGCCAACGAAGACGAACCCATCTTAATGATGTTAATCTCACAAGAATATGTACCTAGAAAGGTGTCTCTAAAAGAGAAGATTTGTGTTAATCTTCTTGCTTCAGGGGATAGTTTAGTTGATTCTGAAGTGTGGTATCTCAAAAATGGTGCTAGCAACCATATGACGGGAGACTTCTCAAAGTTCCATGAGCTAGATGGAAATGTGACGAGTCCTGTGAGATTTGGCAACGGTTCAATTGTTGCTATTTTGGGAAAAGTTCGATTGTAAAAATAGCAACCAAAGACTTCTAAATGAAGTATACTACATTCCAAGCCTAAAAAATAACATCATTAGTCTTGGACAATTGACGGAGGAAGGAAGTCGAGTCATTATGGATGGGTCCGACTTGATGTTATATGATAAAAATTAAGATCCACTTTTAAGAGTTCCAAGATCCACAAACCAGTTATACAAAACTTCGTTAAGAACCAGTAGACCAACATGCCTCTTAGCCATGAAGGATGACCTGACTTGGATATGGTACTCTAGTCTTGGTCACATTAACTTTCCCGCTTTGAAAAAGTTGTTCGAAAGGAATATGGCAGTTCCAAGGACCGAACATCCGAATCAAGTGTGTGAAGGGTGTGTTCTTGCAAAACGAACCCGAATCTCTTTCCCAAATCAAATGATTTTTTGAGCTCAAAAATTGCTCAAACTTGTTCATGCGAACCTGTGTGGTCCGATCACACCACTTCTATTGGAGGAAGCAAATATTTGCTTCTTTTGGTTGACGATTATAGTCGGTGGATGTGGGTTTATATGTTATTAACGAAGTTTGAAGCCATGGGTTCTTTCAAACGATTCAAGTTAATGGTCGAAAAATGTTTGGGTTATGAATTAAAGACACTACACACGGATCAATGGGGAGTGTTTACGTCAAAAGAATTCTCACTATTTTGTGAAGAAAATGGAGTAAAAATGCATCTTGCGACACCATACTCGCCTAAACAAAATAACATTGTAGAAAGACAAAATTGTACAATTATGGTTATGGCAAGAAGCCTACTTAAAGGATGAAATGTACCATGTGAATTTTGGGGAGAAGCCGTTAGACATGCGGTTTATCTTCTCAATCGCCTACCTACAAAAGCGCTTCCTGACATCACACCATATGAAGCCTGGTTTGACAAAATACCAAACATTGAACACTTAATGTTTTTTTGTTGTGTTGTCTTTGCCGAAACTGTAGGTGGTCACTTGAAGAAGCTTGAAGACCGAAGCAAAAAGATGTAGTATTTTGTAGTAGAAGACGAAACTAAAAGGAGTCGATTATTTGATCCGGAGAGCCAAAAATTGCGGGTTAGTCGCGATGTTATTTTTGAAGAAAATAAAGGATGGAATTGATACAAAAACATAGAAGAGGAAGATGCGACTCCTAAAACTTTCACAAAAATCAATCTGGACAACGATGAAGTCAACTCGGCGCAATCGAACATCCCCGAAGCAACTCGAAAAATCCGGACAACCCCAATCTCGAATCTATCCACCCCGAAACAGCCCCAAATACACCTACTTCAACCCCGTGTTTCTTCCAGTTTGACCGAAACCGAAAGCTCTGAGAAATGAAGTTGGGCCAAGAGGATTATGTTCGCTTGCGGATATATATATATATATATATATATATATATATATATATATATATATATATATATATATATTTATTTATGATGCCGAAAATGTGATCCTAGAACCTAGTGAATTGTTGATGATTGCAGTGGATCAACCCTTCAATTTTAAAGAGGCGGTCACCTCTAAACCATGGCGGGAGACCATAAAAATGAAGTTGATTGCAATCGTGAAAAACAAGATGTGGCAACTTAGCGATTTGCCACCAGGTCACAAAGCAATTGGTTTAAAATTGGTCTTTAAAATGAAAAAAACACAATCTTGGAAGTGTGACAAAAAATAAAGCCCGACTTGTCGCAAATGGTTTTGTATAAAAGCAAAGAATCGATTTTGATGAAGTTTTTGCACTGGTAGCGCGACTTGACACAATAAGGCTTATTTTTGCCTTAGCGGCTCAACATGGGTGGGTTGTCTACCATTTAGATGTCAAGTCGGCTTTCATTAATGGTGATCTTGAAGAGAAGGTTTATGTAAGTCAACCGGAAGGATACATTGACAAAGTACACATTCACAAGGTGCTCAAACTCTCAAAGGATCTTAATGGTTTATGACAAGCTCCTTGAGCTTGGAATATCCGTTTGGATAAAAGCTTAAAAGGACTTGGTGTTTTGAAATGTTCACAAGACAGGGAGGTGTACAAAAGGAACTCAATTGGAAAAACTCTTTTAGTTGGTGTTGATGTTGACGATTTGATCGTAATCAGGTCGAACAACGAAGACATTATCGAATTCAAGGAACAAATAAAAAAAGCATTCAAAATTAGTGACTTGGGTCTACTTTCTTACTACCTTCGAATAGAAGTGTCGTAAAAGAAGTGGAGAATTTCATGACAACAAACGACATATGCAAAGAAGATTTTAGAGCAATTTGAGTTACTAGATTGCAACCCGACAACTTCATTAATGGAACCAAAGTTGAAGATCAATAAAGATGAAAATGGTGAAAAAGTTGACCCAATCGAATACATGCAAGTAGTGGAATGTTTAAGGTACGTGGCACACACTCAACCGGATTTTTCATATGTGGTTGAAATTGCAAGTCGTTTTATGAAACACCTAACTACTTTGCATTTTCAAGTAGTAAAGCATATTTTACGATATGTCAAAGGAACCATGGATTATTGGCTTAATTACGCAAATGGTCACGAAATTAAAGACTTGGTAGGGTTTAGCGATAGTGATCATGGAGGTGACAAATTTGGTGGAAAAGGCATGAGTGAGATGATTTTTTACCTTGAAAGAAATGCAGTGACATGACAATCTCAAAAACAAAGGACCGTTGCTTTGTCTACATGTGAAGATGAGTTCATGGTAGCCAGAGCGCCAACGTGTCAATCCATTTGCCTTGGGAATCTCGTGAAGGAGCTTACGGGACATCATTTTATGCCTATCACATTGTATGTTAACAAGAAGTAGGCAATTGCCTTAATGAAGAATCATGTGTTTCATGGTAGAAGCAAACACATTGACACTCGTTATCACTTCACAAGGGAATGTACTGAGGAAGGGAAAATTGTAGTGGAACATGTTGTTTCCAAAGAACAATGAATGGACAATTTTACTAAAGCCTTGACACACGTGAAGCATGGTGAAATGCGACATATGATTGGAATGACGGATACCGAGCTTGATCCGGTTTAAGGGGGGAGAATGTGATTATTAAACCTGACCTTAAAAGTGAGCAACATTAATTCACCTCCATACAAACTTGACTTTTGTTCTCCTATGTTTGAAAAATACCCTATAGCTCTACTTAGACTAATAAGTGTGGTATTTGCATTAGATGATCCTTGACTTTTAATGCTAGGTACTTAGTATTTGTAAGCTTAAATAAAAGTGATAGCAGCTTTTAATATCTCTTTTCACCTTGTAATTTGTCTTTCATTTTAATCTAAGAAAAAGCCTTTGCCAGCTCCTCTACCCTTCTTTCTTTTTGTGTTTTGGATAGCAGCAAAACCCATCTTTACTCACCATCTTTTGCCTTCTAAAATTGCGTACAAATTGTCTTTTCTAATTTCCAACAGATATATCATATGTATCATTTCTTCTGGATATGTTCTCCATAGGCGATTGATAAAACCTCTTGAAATAATAATTTTAATATCTTACAAAAAATTAATTACTGTTTTGTGTTGAACTGCCACATAACACAAATACTCCATCTCATTATAACTTATATTTTAATTATGTAAAAAACTCGTATGCTTTCAAGAAAATAACTATAATATCCTTCCTATGTAACTTTCTCGTGTTAACCAAAAAAAAAAAAAAAGCATTTGACGCAAAATGAGCATTTCAGAATGGCTCCTTCCATTCAATCAAACAAAACAAAAAACTATTAGCTTAAATTATTACGGGTAAAAGAATTGGAGAAAAAGTGTTCACTCCAAGAATAAGTCTAATAAATAAAGACCTTAAAGGCTTAAATTATTTTCAATTTTAAACGAAAAACAAATTCAAGTTTCATTTCAACACTTCTTGCACTTTCTGAATCAAGCAAGCGCCCACTTCTTGAAAATCCTACTAACTCCAAAACAGATTTACATATATGAAAAAAATTACCAAGTTGATATGACACTAGAATTCATACACAGGTGCCACCGACAAGAAAGTGTTGACAAGCTACCATGAATTAAGCTAACAATGATCATATGAGGTGAAACAAATCTTAAATAACATCACATCACCACTATTCCAAAATATGTATTTTTGTGATTCACCTTTGACAAACATTTATTATATGACAAGAGACTTTTTTGGCCATCTGGACTCACACCCACTCAGCCAATTCCTTACCACCACACTCTTGCGATGCCTCTTTGCTATCCACTCATTCAAGCCTTATATATAAGCACGAAATTTATGGGTATGTATTAGCAATTTCTTGTAAATAGAGGGCTAAATCATTCGGTTTTGATAACATGATCATATGACCAGCTTCAGGAATGGATTTTACTTCATCTGGGGGGCTGTCTTCAACGACGAATTTTTGAAATTCTTCATCCATCACCTGGTCTTTCTCGCATATTACATAAACCCTCTTAATCGATCCATATTTGTTTTCGGTCAGAATAGAATCCATGCTCATGTCCTCCAAGAATAACCTACTCGGTCTTATCAACATCTTTGCCAATGCTAAATCCTACACCAAATTATCACATGAAATCTAAGATTGTGATACAACTGATCATATGTATATGCATCAGTTCACGTCAAGATTAGGACGCACCTCCGATTGGCAACTCCGGTACATCATGGTGGCCATGTAATCGCATCCTAGTTCCGCCGACACCGGCAACCCATCTTTGAACGTGAACCGACTATCCATATAAGTTTCCGGCTTCAAATTCTTGAAGTACTAAAAAACAAATGAAAAACTATGAGAGATAGAGAGGGGGAGAGCTAAAAAGAAACGATCGTGTGTGGTGTGTTTACTCATACCTGTTTCATCTGGAGTGCTGGTGGATCCCTGCAATTGGGCATGTAGGCGGTGATGAAAATGGCAGCTGACACAATGTGTGAAAACTTCTCCATGGCGACGGAGATAGCAAGTCCGCCAAAGCTGTGCCCAACTAACACCACCCTTTCATCGCCAGATAACGACTCCATAAACTGAATCAGTGGATGTACATAATCGGAGAAGGTGGCTATTTCCTCAGGTCGACTTGGGTGCACCCCACAACCACCAAGGTCCACCGCCGTCACACGGTGGCCGGCAGATTGCAGGTTGCTCACGACCTTGTACCAGCACCATGCTCCGTGGGATAGGCCATGAACTAGCACGAAGTGCTTCGGTGAAGTGGTGGTGCTCGGCATATTCTCGACGAGAAAGGGGTTTTGTTTTATGGAAGTTTATCGTTTTTGTAAAATGTGTTGAAATTTATATTCAATCAAGAGTACAATCGCTTTACGCAAAAATTAAACTCATCCACTTATTGCATCAGCCATCCTCAAATTTAATGCCCTACAAATAATGACATTAATTAATTAACATTTCAGTCACAATTTTAATTTTGTAAATTTAATTATTAATTATATTTTATGGTTATTGTGTGAAATAATAATGATTAATTTTAATAGCAGGGCTTCCTTTTGCAATATTAGAAAAATATCATAAGAATCTATGAACAATATATATCAGTATGAGGTAAGGCATGTGATGATGCGGTGAAAACCATATTTTGTGTTGTGCGAGGTGCGGTGAAGACCGCACTTGATTCCTTTTCCTCATTACTTTTTCTTTTTTCTTTAATTTGATTAATTTATTATTAAAAAAAATGTATATATTAAAAAATGTAAAAATATATATTGAAATTCATAGTTGTAAATTCTCTGTGAATAAAATATATAATATTGATATATTATTTATATACATTTGAATATTAAAAGTAATAATGATGAGTGACATTTTTAAAATATTTTAATTAATACCTGGCATATAATATTAATATTATATTATGTTCTCTTTCATAAAAAAAAATTCCTCTGTCGTAATATTATATTATATTTACTATCGTGTTTAGACTTTCGACTTTAAACGAAAATGTAAATGCCACATGATTTGTACCGTGCACAGTGCGGACCACAATGGTTAGATTTAGCGGCGCCGAAACTAGATATTCAAATGGGCAACTTAAAACAATAAACACATGTTATACTATTAATAGTTTAATGCTGTAGTATTAATAGTTAATTAATGCCAAAATTGAGTATCGAATATAAATATTTATCTTTTTTTCTGAATAAGCAAAAGAGAAATATATTAAAAAACAAAAGCACTAGCAAAGTATTACGAGTGAAGAGTACATAACTGGAAACAAAGATCATAACCAAAAAGTTGCATAACAAATGCCCCAACAATCTTTTCTTTTCCTTGGGACAGTTTCCCAATTGGAGGCGTAGTCGAGAACCTCATACACTGTGTGGATGTTTAATAATGGAACATTACACCATTTGAAAATTCATTCCATGACAGTTCTAGCAAAAGCGCATTGCACTAAAATATGATCAGTCGTTTCTTCCATCGAGTCACATGGACAGCATGTGGTGGTTGAAAGTTTATATCCCTTTTGATTAAGGTTTCAGCTAATGGAATAAGACCCCTTTCCGCCCTCCAAATGAAACACAAGACTTTTAAGGGTATCTCCTTGATCGAACTAAATTTGGCAATATGCACACGTCAATTATCTTCCAAAATATGTCGAATGCTGCTTACCTTATAATTCTCATCCCCAGTGAAATCGCACTTCCACAATACACCAATCCCATCCTGATGTTTCTTGATGATTTTGTCGTGTGGAATGTCCTTTCTTTGGAGTTCGCATTTAATACGTGCTATATTGCTCCATACCTCTATCATTGTCTTCATAGAGTAGTAATCGTCTCCTTTGTCACTTAGTTTGTAAACTCATGTGATGACTTTTTCCCATAGTGTGAATGGTTCCGACCTCAGACATCACCACCATTTCACCAGGAGTGAGATATTTAGGGATTTTAAGGATCTAACTCATAGCTCACCATTATCTTTATTCATGTTGACCTCTCATGATGCCTAATGTATCGTCTTTTTACCATGAACCTCCCTATATAAATATTTACATATCATTTTTTCATAATTTATATTTACCAAATTTTAAAGTCATAGTCTTTTTTATATGTAATTCTCAAAATTGTAAACAGTGGCGGAACCAGAAATTTTAATATAAGTGTACAAACATTTTCAAGATTCAAAATAATAAATGCAAAGAGTTTCTTAATATTTAAAGTTATAAATCGAAAAAACATAGTTTAATCAAAAGTTACAGATGAATCCACCTAGGCGCCATGTCTTGAAATCGATCAATGATATTGTCATCAAAAACATGTAGAAAAACATCATTCTCTATAAAAATGACTAAACAATCGTTTAAAACTTGATCATTCATGTTATTCCGTAACTTATTCTCTTTACATTTGCTATAGTAACTAGAAAATATATATTTTATGAAGTTATTTTATCTCAGACATTAAAAGAATGGTATAATCCTTTTAGCTAGGAGTACAACAACATAGAGTGTGTTTATAAATAAAAAAAATTTCATATATAAAACAATTTTTTTGGGATGTTATAGTACCCCGACATCCCATGTAGCTCCGCCATTAATTGTAAAACACACTTAGCTATAAACAACAATCATACATAATCTTGCAAATTTTATGAGTATTTATAATTTTAATTACATCCCATAACATAATTAACAATCAGATTATTGTATAACTAATTGACAATTAACATATAACAAAGTCGACATATATATATATATATATATATATATATATATATATATATATATATATATATATATATATCACGTCTAACCCATATGTTTTTTTTATGCCAATAAGCTTTCTGATTTACTTCCTACTTTCTGACTCCTGTTTTGGCTAAAATGGTTATACCTTAGTTATATATATATATATATATATATATATATATATATATATATATATATATATATATATATATATATATATATATATATATATATATATATCACGTCTAACCCATATGTTTTTTTTATGCCAATAAGCTTTCTGATTTACTTCCTACTTTCTGACTCCTGTTTTGGCTAAAATGGTTATACCTTAGTAATAATCATTTCAGCGTACTACTAAAAAATTGATGCAATAGCTACAGCACAATCCGTAGTTATTCTGTAGCTATAAGCAGATAGCTACGAAATTGTTACGGAAAAAAGTTATACCTTAGTAATAATCATTTCAGTGCACTACTAGAAAATTGATGCAATAGCTACAGCACAATCTGTAGCTATTATGTAGCTATAAGCGGATAGCTACGGAATTGCTACGGAAAAATGTATGTAGCAAAATGGTCCGTGGCTAAATTATAGCTACGGAATCGTTACAGAATAGCTACGGAAATAAATAGCTACGGATTTACTACGGATTACCCACGGGAGTCATGTTTGACTAAAAATTTTCTACGGAATAACTACAAAAATAAATAGTTACGGAATAGCTACGGAAATAAATAACTACGGAATAGCTACGAAAATAAATAGTTACGGAATAGCTACGGATTGAAAGAGTGACAGATATTGCCAACGGATTTCCAAGAACCTGTTACCTACGGAAATTCCGTCACTAATCTACCACCAAAATGAGTAAAAAAATTAAAAATTAAAAAATCCAAAATTTCTACCTATAATACAGAAAAAATCCAAAATTTAAAAATATAATAAATTACTTACTTAACCACAAAACTAATGAACATTGCAATAAACTTTGCTATTTATAACATTATACTTTGCATTTACTCAATGTATTTCAATTAAGTAGCTTAAACACAAACCAATACAATTCATACTCATACAAACACAATGCATTTCAACTGTCCTATCCTACTTTGTATGAATATATTCCTTGTAACTATTTCTAACATTTGCCTTCGCCTCCTGCTTTGGCTCTTTTTCTGGTAACCATACAAATATTGCAAGTATTATCCATTGAATTGGTGAAACAAAATAACAGTCTTGTATCAAACTAACAACGTGCAAGCTTGCCAGAAAAAATGTGAAAACAAATATCAATTAATCACTAATTGAAAGAATGTGTAACTGTTATTTAGTTACAATAAGTTAGTTATAATTTTCTTTTAGCATATAAAAGAAATCATATTATGCAAACAATGTTAATAATATTATGGGTATTATTTATCATGGTAACTAATATTCATACTATTCAAACTAATTTTAACACATGAATGTTAACAGATTTAAAATATCATCTAACAAACAAACCATTTTTCCTAATGTTCATAATACGGAAAAATGGCATCTTGTTAACAAACCATTTTTACTAATGTTAAATGATAAAACACATCATTTCAATCCATCTAATCATCTATGCCTAATAAAGAAACATTCAGATTCATAAATATTTACTTTATAAAAACTAGAATTAATAAAGACTTGAATACACATAAAGAAATTAACGAACGTGGTAATGTTCTATTATCTAAACCAAGAGCCATTGTAGCTCCTCTTCTCTCAAAATTAAGGTTTCCCAAAAAGCAATACATGTGGCATGGGATCAAGAAGGTGAACCTAGAATCAATTAAGCAATCAATTTCAAGTAAATAGTGACAAAAATGAGATAAAAATAAAATCAAAATCAAAGAAAGATCCAAGATAATATATCTTTTTAGCAAAATTATTTTAGCTGGGTTATCAATATAACATACCAAAGGATACAAAGTTATTACCTCATTAAATTATCGTATGAAAAGATTCTTAATCGCCCTCCCAATTCCAAAACTAGGATCTGCACAAGTTTTAGCAACAGTTAATCTTCAATAAACAACTCAAATTAGAATTGTCAATAGAAAGACATTTAAAAACTAAGTAGTTAAGTCTATTCCTTATAAACTTAAATAAGAAGAAAGAGAGAAAGAGAGCTAGCCAAGTGCTACAAAATGTCACAGTGATAAGAACTCAAACTCCAGGTAGATAACTATATACTAGCCAAACAAGTATGCTAATAATCAATAATTGGTAATAACCAAACAAAATGGAAGGGAATAGAATGGTACATTAGTCGAAAAAGTAAGTTACTAGCCGGAAAAACTTGGTCAAATTCAACGGTCTAAAGTTAAATGACCTAAAGTTAAACTTGGTCAAATTCAACGGTCTAAAGTGAAAGGTCATCATGCAGACCAAGTATGCCCTATGTACTCCAACTCTCCGCCCTACGTAGAGTGTGTCTTGGCTTTTGCGGGGCAATATAGGGGTACGTGTTGCATACCCACATGTACGCCATGCGTAATCACATTGAAGCCAATAATCCCATTAAGTGCTTAATACAGAAAGGCATCACGTTCGACTCTCAGATCTGGTCTAAATAAGTGTCTTAAGTGATAAAGTGCCAAACATTATGCACTTGCATGGCTAATCAAGGCTCAAGAGCAAGCGTTAATCTCA